TTATTGGAATAAAATAAGTATGAAATACAAGCAAGCAAAATCCTGCATTTCTTTTGCAACGACCTAATAAGTTTGAGGTTATATGATTCCACGTCTGCATCCGCCCATACGATCAAAGTGGATTATGCCTTCAAAGACAACCTGCACACTCACCTCCGCGGACGCTCCTACCATATGAGTGATGAATAGTTCCTCAACTGCAAAAGCGTCCCACTTTCCGCTAAAATGTGCACGTGAACGGGGCTGTAGTGTGGCGTCTCCTGACTCCTCCCGCGCTGCCACACGGGCCAGCCACAAGCCTAGTCATGGCCAAACGCGCTACTTCTCTGCGCCCTCTTACTTGTAACTGTCCTCTATGGGAGACGGGCAAGACAACCGTAATTTGTCGCGTCTTGTGGCGTGACTTGAGGCAACGAGTTTTCAGTGTACATCAATATGTCAGTTGGAGCAGCGAAACTCCATGGATGCAAGCGAAGACAATCTCCATGACAGGCGAACCGAATTTTCCCATTTTTTCCACATAAACAGATGCCGAGGCAGGACAGCTCGTCCACAAGGCGCGGCATCTCTCGCCCACCAGAGCGGGATATTATGATTGTTTTGTCACGTACCCAATCCACGTTTCTTTGCGTGTTCGCTGTAAGATTCTGGTACGGCGCAAGTGCTGCACCTTTTATATAGCACGGGCGGAGTTGGGAGACGATACCCAAGCATCACTACCCTCCATCTCTCCCGTGCAGTTTCGAGCGGGTTAAGTGAGTGTAGGTGCTGCAGCTAGGGCCCTATTGGCCTCGCTCGTTGAAAGGACCAGCATCTGAGGATACAGATGTTTTCACTCACACTGTGTCACTTGCAAGTGTGACACAACAAGGAAACGTAAACTTATAGGTGATAGTACTAAAGACGGTGATGGAAGCAATTGGCGCATCTGTACAGGCTAAGTCACTGACCACATCTGGTCTACCCTGAGCCGTCGAACCACAGTTTGCAAAAATTGTTTTCCTCGAAAACTCACCTTCGTACGCGTTACGTCAGTCTTCGAACTTGGTAGTTTGATTTTTCGTTTCTGAAAAATAACGAGAACTTGACCAAAGTTTCAGGTATCTGCGATCTCACAGCCTTGGGGACTTTATAGTAATATTTTGAAATAAAAGTCGCATACTACTCTACGAAGAAAAGAGGTGCAGCTTAGGAGACCCACGGTGGCGGTAGCGGCGACGTAGCAAAAGCATCGTATTTGTTATCACATGCGCAGAATTCGCAACAGCAGCTCGATTGAACAGACAAGTCCTGGAAATGTCGAGTCAACTAGCTAGAAAATATACAGCTAAATTCTATGCGCTGCCACAACCAGGATCTCCTGAAGTGCACTCCTTTTCCCGGCAAGTTTTTTTAGCAGACTCACTTGCCCTTTACAGTCGCCGTCGATTGCTAATATGGGCGACAGAGGCAGTACACGTGCTGCTGTTCCAGTAAGATAGAATAGCCCATTGGAATCGGTCGTGTTAGATGCCAACAGCTTGTCGGAAAACGGAGCTGAAAAGCATTTCTCGTCAAAGGGTTGCGCACTGTGCTCGTACATGCTTATGGAAACTCACGTTTCCTTTTGTCGTACAATTGCACTGTACGATTTCCAAGCGGTTTCGTGCCACATCGAAGGGTCCCTCGAATTCCGAGTGACTGGTTCAATAGGGCATGCAGTAATAAAGGCGTTGAAAGCAATAACAAGACAAACCTTGAATTCATCTGCACACTGAAATAGTTATTTCGAAAAAACTGGAAGAAACTTGGAAATTTGAGCCGGGAAAAAAGCGGGAAATACAGTTGAATTTCACAACCAGTGGTAGGAACGCGTCGGGTAGGCTCAATCCCTCCCTCTTGACACCGCCCCGACGAAATGCGACGATATCAGGCGTGCAGAGGGGAAAACTTCTATTAGGTTGGCTAATAAGTAATGGCCGTTTTTTTCAATTGAAAAATTTGTTCGAAAAGTGAAACGTTTTGCAAGCAAGTTATATATCATCTGATAGGAAACTTCTCGTAGTATAAGAATATCAAAAAAGCTTTGGTTGAGGATATAGTTTTTGTGAATTTTTTAGTCGTTGAAGTTGGAAGTGAAGTCGGCGAAAATTAGCATCTTCGACAACTGCCTCTATTTACGTCTACTCGAAGTGCTAAAATCGCTTAAGCTGCTCCATACATTCGGAAAAGGTTGAGGTAGAAGTCTCAGCAAGGGAATCTCAACAGGACGCTTTGGAAGACTAATTTCAAAGAATTTTCAAAGTTGGCAACCTTCACCTCGCCGATATTGGGCAGGCTCACGTCTGTTCCACCTGAAATTTCATGCTAATAGTTGAATTAATTGAATTTGAATTTGATATTCTAATACTACGAGAAGTTTGCTATTAAACGATATTAAGCACATTCCAGCGAAAAAATAAGGCTATGACCTCTCAATGTGTGTCGGACGATCCGGAAAGCGATTTTTGAGGCTGCGCTGCTTTCAAAATGTGAAAAACGGCAAGAACTCCGCTAGAAGCTGACTAATTAGGCCCATGTGACACGGACCTTGCCATGCCGACCCTCACCGGCTGCTAGCTACTAGCTAGTAGCCACTATGTTATCTTTCTCTATAACATTTCGGACTGCTTTTTCTGCTGCTTTTCTCCGCTAATCAGATACTTAGCACTTTTTTTTGTGCCTATTTGAGTTCCGTTTCCCGCAATTTGCGGTCGCGAGCGTGGCCTTTAGCTTGCTTGGCAAAACCATTGACTTTTGGAACTTTCGAATTGAAAAAAACGGCCATTAACTTATTAGCCAAGCCCACTGATAGTGGGCTGTGCCCGGCTGGCTAATAACTGCTAGTGGGCTGGCTAATAAGTAATGGCCGTTTTTTTCAATTGAAAAATTTGTTTCAAAAGTGAAAAGTTTTGCAAGCAAGCTTAATATCGTTTAATAGCAAACTTCTCGTAGTATAGAATATCAAATTCAAATTCAATTAATTCAACTATTAGCATGAAATTTCTAAATAGAGGCAGTTGTCGAAGATGCTAATTTTCGCCGACTTCACTTCCAACTTCAACGACTAAAAAATTCACAAAAACTATATCCTCAACCAAAGCTTTTTGATATTCTTATACTAGATTTTTCCTATCTCTTTTTCCTATCTTATCCCTTTGTTTTTTCGCTATCAGATTCCTAAGGTTTCCTATCAGATGATATATAACTTGCTTGCAAAACATTTCACTTTTAAAACAAAATTTTCAGTTGAAAAAAAAACGCCATTACTTATGTTCCAACCCATATGAAAATAGCTTGATCTTAATTGTGGTAGTTGCCAACCTGTGCAGCGAATTATGAGGCGTGCAGAGCTTCTGGCAGGGGTGGGCGCGTTGGAGGCTTATATCTTTGGCTGGGACAGCGCTTATCAGAGCGAACTTCCTTGGATAAAAGGCAAGGCACGTCAACACCCGAACAGAGATTCTTGAGGCGGCTTCTGAATGCTGATCTTGTTTATCTGACAATAAGATTCAGAAGTGATATATCATTGAAATAAATTAATCTAACGTGGCGAAAAAATTAGGGAAGAGGTAATTGGAGGAGGAGTTGCCCATGCCTACATAGAGCGCCACGTCACGTCCCCGACTTCACGTGAACCCTCTGCCACCCTCGCTCACCGAGGTTTTTTAAATAGTTTTTAAAATGTGTAAGACGTGATTCAGAAAGCGAATGCAAATAGGGAAGCGGCGTGTACTTTTCGCACTATCTGTGTGGGTGGGGGAGAGAAGGAGGTAGAGGAGACCAGAAGACGTGGACTAATATAGCCGCGTCGCCACGGGTCCAACCTGTCCTCCTCAACCACATTTGTCCCAAGGAGTGTAGGGCTTTATCACTGACTGACGTTCTTGAGGTCACTGGTGGAAGACGCAATTATGTCAAAGGAGTTGGCAGACTGCAACACTGGTGCGTGTGAGAAAACGACGTATGAAAACAGTTTCAATGAAAGGACAGAGATAAGCGAAGCGACATTCAAAGTTCTGGGAACGACGATCGATGTGATAAATTCGGCGTTGTCAGGACCGATGAGAACAGTAATGTCAACATTATGACAAGAAACTCAGTCAGGTTGAAAATGGGTAAATATATCGATTACCTGTGGCCGGCTTCTTCAGCTGAAATGCAAATGAGCGCAACCGTTTAATGCATTCACCCCACGTATGTACTTAACTCTTCACTGATGATTTCTGGACAGACCAGCATACTGTAAAGCGTTTGATGTTTCGATGTGGTCAATTAGTATGCAAAACGGGATGTTTCTTTTTCAACGCATTTCGTAAAGGTGGCACTTCGTGCCGCAATTCCTGTACGTCTCTGCTTTGCAGAAGTAGTAGACAGTGGTTTCCAAGATTCGTTCCGCGATCACAAATCGAGGATAGCAGGATAAAGTGTTTGCCCATGATCAGTCCCTTTAATACGGACTGCGCATGCACTCTACTTTCCATTCAGAATCATAGTAGCTTATTGAATGCGGCCTATGCCATGACTTGCGAGAGACAGCCGTTGTACAAGTCAATGTCTTATCCTCCCAGACGGATCTTAGTACAAAACTGTCTCGGAGGTGAAAGCTCGGTTGGCTGGGCGGGAGTCAAGCTGTGGTTTTGTAAGCCAGGACCGCGAGATGTAAGCACTTGGCCCTAGCCTCTTTAAATATAAATCCGTAAGGCGCAGTTCGGCTTCGGGGTGGCATCGAATGCCACCCAGCTTAAGCTTGTACAGGTCAACTCGTGAAGACTGTAAACTTCTGTGACCGAAGTGGCTCACTCCTACTATTTCACGACTTGACAGAAGTTTACCGGACTGACCAAAGTGAGACCTGTTAGTTAAAATGAACTAACAAAAGACTAGCGGATGTGCAAAATGCTCCCTTCAACCAAACATTGCCCAATCTGTACGTATTAGTTGACTTGAAAGTTTTAAGCTGTTATTGTTTGATAACTGCTGTTTAACGCCGCAGTGCGCGATCCGAAAGTTATCACAAGAATGCTGAGTTGTGGGCCAAAAGTCGGACCACGGACACCACGGACAGTGAACGCAACTGCCCGGTAAGCAGAAGATGCGGGTTCGAATCCCGTCCGTGGTCCGACTTTTGCCCACAACTCAGCATTCTTGTGATGACTTGAAAGTGATGAAAAGAGCAGATGAAACCGTCGAAAGGGCCGCATGATTCTCAACAAAACCATTATGCGATGAATGTAGACGCAGAGAAGCTCAATAGAAGGACAAACTAGCGCTGGCGAGAGCCAGAGGCACACACAAAAAGTCGAGAAAATCAACTGAAACATCACACAGTTGTACGTTGCCACGTGGTTTTAGTAGCGAACGTAACACACCGTGGACGGCGGTGCGCCTCCGTTTTTCTTTGCTTTACACAGTAAAGACTTCGGCTTTCGGCGGTCGCGAAAAGTGTCCTTAATAGCGCAATTTACAACAAACTAACGCGACTACGAAGTAACGAGGAATTTCATTCGTAAAGCAGTTACAGGTAGGTAAGCGAAAAAGAGCGAAACGTTGATGAAGAGTCATAGTTGCGATTATGTTTACGAATGGAAAGTGGCCAATGATCAATGATGAATTTCCTCAACGGAAAAACGATTATGCATTGGAAAGTATGGAAAAGCTGTTTGCAATGAGAAAAGAACATGTGCATAAAAAGGAGGTCCCCAAGGTGTCACTCTTATGGAAGCTAAGAGGCGCTGCTAGATTATGACACATCATTTAGAGTAGCATATATAATACTATAAAAGCTGGCCGACGTCACATGTGAACTCTGCCTGAAAGCCCTAGTAGCTTCCTATTCCAGAGCCAAGTCACGTCATAATTGGGGATTCCCCAGCAGGAAGAGGTTCATATTTGTTCATCAGGTCGCTTGGGGCAGGGGG